AGCAGAGAGGGGTTTTGGGGAGGTGTTCCGTTTATTGACTTTTTTTCTTAAAAAAAAAGCCTTTTCCTTCCAAGCCCTCCAATGAAGTTTCAAGTTTTGTTTTGTTTTGTTTTAACTTTTTTTTATATTTCGGCATATTATGGGGGCTACAGATTTTTAAGGTTTCAAAAATTGGCGCATTTCTCCCCTCCCCCAAAGCTCTGAGTTCTCCTCATGACCATCCCCCAGATGGTGCACACATCTCACTCATTATGTATTGTATTATCACCTCTTCCCTCCCACCTGCCCAATACCCTGATTCTATAGTACCTATTGGGGGTCCACTTAGGTGCTTACTCAGTTAATACAGTTTGCTGGAAATATGTATCTGGGTGCTCGTTTTTTTCATTCTTGCGATACTTCACTTTAGTAGGTATGGGTTTCGCAGCTCTAACCAGGAAATATAAGATTGTGCTAATCACCATTGCTTTCTTAGAAGCTGCAATAGTACACCATGATATACATATACCGATTTGGTATTAATCCATTCGTTGGATTGATGGGCACTTGGGCTGTTTCCCACAGGCCTGCAATTATGAATTGGTGCTGGCTATAAACGATTCGAGTGCCATGGTGTGTGCTTTTTTGTAGAGTGGTCATTGGATCAGTTTCAAAGTTTTGATGGTGGTTTAGTTTATTCCTCAAACTGGGAGAAATCTTTTTCACAAGCTATCAAAATTATGCCTGCTGCTCTTTTCTGGCTGACTTTCTGCTTCCAAAATTAATTTAATTTCGTTGCAAAATCATGATAAATTTAAGACACTTTCGGCGGGCACCAGTGGCTACGCCTGGAATCCTAGCACTCTGGCGGAGGCCGAGGCGGGCGGATGCTCGGAGGTCAGGAGTTCGAAACCAGCTGAGCGCCCGCGCGCCCCCGTGGAGGTCGGACCCCGTCTCTACTTATAAATAAGAAAGAAATTAATTGGTCCAACTAATATAATAAAAAAATGAAGCCAGGCCATGTGCGTGCATGCTGTAGTCCAGCGAGGACCTGAGGCTACTTGGGAGGCTGGAGGCAGGGATTGGCTTGAGCCCAGGGAGTTTGAGGTTGCTGTGAGCTAGTCTGACGCCACGCACTCTAGCCTGGGCAAGAAAGCGAGACTCTGTCTCAAAAAAAAAAAAGAAGTGCATAAAAACACTTTCAATGGCATTGTGTTAGTCTGTTTCGTGCTGCTGTTAACAGAATGCCACAGACTGGGTAATTTTTATGGAAAAATATTTATTTCTCAGAGTTCTGGAGCCTGGGAAGTCCAAGATCAAGGCACTGGTATCTGATGGAGGGCCTTCTTTGTCTCACATGGCCAAAGTAGAAGGGCAAGCAGAACAAATATTATGTCCTCGTGGCAGAAGAGCGAAGAGAGTAAACCGCAAGCCTTTTCCGTAGGGGCATTAACTTTACCACGTGACTCGATCACCTCCTTTAGGCCCCACCTCCCAATACTTATTGCATTGGGAATTAAGTTTCCAGCACATGAATTTGGGGGGACACATTCAGACCATAGCAGGCATTTCAACTTAACACTTGTATACTAATAGTGTACCCTAACCCAACATCTCTTCTAACAGAATGCCACAGACTGGGTAATTTTTATGGAAAAATATTTATTTCTCAGAGTTCTGGAGCCTGGGAAGTCCAAGATCAAGGCACTGGTATCTGATGAGGGCCTTCTTGTGTCCTCACATGGCACAAAGTAGAAGGGCAAGCAGGGACAAATATTATGTCCTTGTGGCAGAAGAGCCGAAGAGAGTAAACCGAAGCCTTTTCCGTAGGGGCATTAACTTTACCACGTGACTCGATCACCTCCTTTAGGCCCCACCTCCCAATACTTATTGCATTGGGAATTAAGTTTCCAGCACATGAATTTGGGGGGACACATTCAGACCATAGCAGGCATTTCAACTTAACACTTGTATTACTAATAGTGTACCTAACCCAACTAAAGTGCCAGCCATATGAGCATTTACGACCATTTATTTGCGTGTACTGACACTAAAAACTACGCTGTGACTGCTGACTGGCAGGCATCTATTATAAGATGCATCCTGATTTCAGAGTGTTAGAATGTGGGGAAAAAATGTTTCTAAGAATTGAAGAAATATGGCAAATAATTTTCTCACGTAATCATGGGGAAGTACAGGAGATCAAAGTTCCCTGGGTAAGTGTAAGTTTCTTTCCTCATGGTTTTACAAAGCCTGGGGAAGAAGATGTGAATGGGTGATTTATAACAGATAAATATGTAGGTTATTTCCAGAATATTTCATTTTTTGTTTTCAGATACATAAACAATGAAAATCCCTCTTCTGTTATTTTTATTTATTAATTTTTTTTTTCAGGAATAAAGATCGTTGTAAACCCAGAATCAAAGGCAGTCTTGGCTGGACAGTTTGTGAAACTGTGTTGCCGGGCAACTGGACATCCTTTTGTGCAATATCAATGGTTCAAAATGAATAAAGAGGTATTTTTAATGTCTTTTAATTCTTCTATAATAAGAAGAGAGAATGATAGGAAATTATTATTGTCCTAAATGTGGTTTTAAGACTTTGGTTTAAGAGTCTGATAGGCATTGCTAGGTTATTGCTGAAGTATTCAATAATTAAAGCAATCCACCCGCCTTGGCCTCCCAGAGTGTTAGGATTACAGGTGTGAGCCACCGCATCCGGCCCTCTACAATTTTTAGAGTGGAGAAGTGATTTCATTACTAATGTTTACAAGTTTTTGGTGAGACAATTTTGGAATTGTCTTACCAAAAT